CGCCACCTGCCCCGGCCCCGGGGTGGGCGAGGGCGGGGAAGGCGAGGGGATGGGGTGTGGAGCTCAGAAAGTACCTGGTGGCTTGGGAATGAAGTTTATAGCTTCCAGAGAAATCACCTGCTTCCCAACTGAATTGCTGGGATTTTATCCAGGCTACGGTTTTTTGGTTGGTTGGAATTTTTTTTTTAATGAAGAACGAGCTAGTATTTTTGAATGCTTTCTCATAATTCTTAGACAAACTCCTGCCGAAGCTTTTGCACTCCCCTTTTCTCTAGGTAACCTACAGATGTTTGCGTGGCTGATGTTCCCTGAGCAGGACAAAACACCTGAGTAACAGAGGCAATGCAGCATATAAAAAAATGAGTTATATGGAACAGAGTTGCTCTGGCTATCTATACCGAAAGGAGCCCCCATTCCCTCTTAGAGATCATTAATCACCTTTCTCTTTTACCCCATTACCTCATAAAGGTAGATATTGTGTGATTCTTCATCCTTCTCCATCTACAGCGTTTCCTTCCTCTGTGGTGTGTTCCACATCTGGAAGTGCAGAACCATGGCTGTGTACGTCCGGAAGCATCCCCTGGAGATTCCTCCCCCATCTGAAAAGGACTGGCTAAAGGAAGACGAGGAAGATTTCTTCCTGCAGGATCCTGATCGAATGCGTGATGCGCTGCCTCAGCCCTTCAGGATGATCAACAAACTGGTGATGCTGGTTTTTGAGAATGCTATGGAAATCATTGAAAGAAGGGAGATGCTCCGAGAAGCGGAAAAATTAAAGGTTCAGCCCACAAAATGCCTTCCTACAGCTGAATTCCAGGTACAGAGCCTCTCACAGCAAAGCGTTAATCACCATAGCAGTTTTTCTGGAGAATATTCATTCAGTTGATTTTACATTCTTCTTTTCATTGCCTTTCTCAGAATCCACCATCATCTCACTGATTCACTTCAAAAGGCTGCAACTTCTAAGCTTGCCTGGCAGGTTCTTCTTCCCACCTACCTATCACACCTCTCTGAAAATAAAGAAGCAGATATTAAACAGCCCTAAATTCACCTTCTGCTTTTAGGCTGACTCCACCCTTGTTTGCCAGGGAGAATGTAATTAGTCCGGAGCATATAAATGGGCAAACTCAGCTCTGTGTTATGGTGAATACCCTAGTAGGAGTGTTGTGAGCAGAAAGTCAGTGCTGCCTTCCCCATTGTTAGGTGGAGGGATCCAGGAGGACACGCTGGGATCTGCTGAAGTTCTAAGATTGCCTGGAGGAGCTCAGCAGACTGTTGCAGCTCGACATTAGCAGTGGGAAGTGGGAGAGGTGCTGAATTCTTGGCCTTTAGAGCCCCTTCTGTTTATTGGCAGGGCAAAGGTGGGAACAAACTTTAAAATTCCCAACACAGAACAATCTCTGAGACAGAGGTGAGAGCACTTCCCCTGCTCTTCTCATGAAAGCTCGTGCAAAATTTTTTCCTTTTTAGAATAAATCAGAATTTTCTGTTGGTGGAAGGCTAGGAGTGCATCACAAGTACGACTGGTGTATCCTCCCCTGGGGAAAGGGTTGGGTACACTCATCCTTTCCCTTTCTTGGTAGGTACCTGGAAGAGCCAATTGCTTGACAGTGTCTGGAAAATACATCTTTGTCGGTCTGTCCATGGGTCTGGCTGCCTTCAAGGTGTTTGACTGTAAGGAAGTCTGTGCTTGGGATGCAGCCAAGAGGGAAATTTGTGCCATCCATGCTTCGGATTTGGGGAACGAGTGCCACGTCCTGTTTGCTGTGGATGAAATGGGTTAGCGTGACATGGATTTCCTTGACCTAGCTGGGGATGGCTGTGCTCTGAAGCTGAAGAGTTGCAGCTGCGTTATGGAAGAGTGCTAAATCAGGAGGAATGTTAGAATGGCTGACAGGTTTCCTAGAAATTCCTGCGAAGAAAGTGTTAGATAACAGGTGACAGAGTGTCTCTGGGGCCTTGTGATTAGGAGAGGGTGTGGGTTTAGTGCTCTCTCTGGAGCAGCAAAAGCAGGTGCAGAGCTCAGAGTGAAGTGCAGTAAATTTTAGGAAGACCTTGGACAAGAAAGAAAGAACCATTACGAGGTATGACCTCCTGCCTATGCTTTGCTTCAGGCCGCGTAAATGGGTTAGTTTGTTCATTTATCTGAAGCCTATCAATTCTGGGGGAGATACTTTTCCATCTCTGTTGTACAATGAAGTGTTTGCTGGTGCTGGCATAAGGGAGTCAGCGGAAGTCTAGTGCAGGAAGCAGTGGGATATTCCTTCTTGAGCCCAGGAAAAAAATGTAGACCTCTTCGCTCTCTTGCACGTGTTGTAACAGCCATCTCCCAAGAGCATGGCTACCATCTGATCGTTTTTCTCCTCATGTTACTTTTGTATTTCTATTCCAGGGCTTGTCTGGCTCCTGTGCTTTCAAAAGGAAAGCTTCCTTCTTGTTAAAATCCTGAATGAAATGGTAAGTACTGAGTTAATTTCCTGGACATTGGGCAAAGGCTGGTGAGTAATCAATCATGAGGAGTGTGAATTGCCCTCAGGTATTTCACTCCAAAAGTGATGCCCAATAATCTGGCCTTCACCCTCTTGAGGACTGTGTAAGGCCACGGAGCTCTCTGAATTGATGATCTTGCTTTGATGCCAGACGTTTTTCTTTGGCAGGAGGATATCAGTAAACAAAGTAGGTGTGTGGAGGTGGTGCTGTCCCCAGGAGGTGATTATGCAGGAGTCCTGCTGCAAGGCAAGTGCAAGAACATAGTGTGTTGGATGATGGCAGTTGTATTCTAGCAGTGGGGCCAGAAGCAATGCTTTAAGTGTTCTGGGTTCCCAGGGATCCTGTTCCTAACCCTTCCAGTCCCTCCTCCACCTTAGTGAGTTGCTCCTGTCACTCTCTGCCCTCTCCAGAAAGCCTGGGTGAATCAGCACTGATCCCCCGAAAAAACTATGCTATCTGGAACCAGTCAGTGCAGTTCCCACCTCGCAGAAGGCTCAATGAAAGCAGGTTTCCTGCTCCTCTCCAGAAGTATCAAACTCAATTCTTCCTCTGGTTCACTGTGGCTCACTTTTAGACTGGAAATATGTACACCTGAAGAATTTTCCTTTCAGACATAAGCCAGAGAGCATAGAGACAGTTTTTAAAAACACTACAACAAACTCCTTGCTGCAACATTCTTCTGCTTCACGGCGGTTGCCTTTGCCAGCCCATTTGCTGCTAGCACATGTTCTGAACCCCTGTTTGGTGAAATCTGCCTGGACATATGCTGAGAATGAAATACATAGCATCTTCAGAGAACGAGTGTGAGACCACAGCTCACTTTCTACTTTACCTCAGAGGCTACAGGTCAAATTATTTGACTGAGTCACCTCATTGAATTTATTTGGTGGATGTTGGACCTCGAGGACTTGAGCTGAGTCTGAGATGTCAGTCTCAGTCAAACGTGTCAGGCCTCGAGTGGGAGGAGAGGTGGGCTGCATGGAATTCACATGGACTTTATATTTCAAAAGATATCCAGGTCTTGTTTTAAGGATATAAGATAACAGAGGCTGCCTGCTTGGAAGACCTTTTCTCCTAATTTTTAATTGCTCAACATGGTTTCCCAATGCAGACAGCACAAAAGCTTGGCTGGAGATTTACCAGTTGCCCAAGGATTCCTGGCTGAAGGAGATGGAAAAGAACCCAGGAGCTGCAGCAGGGCTGGCTTGCAGGGAGAGGAGATCAAGTTGGACATCTGTGGTACAAAACAGCTCCACCTCCCATGGTGCTATTTTTTCTTACACCCTTTTACCTACAGGTCTTTCCCCAAGCCTTGTTCTTGCAAACGGTGACACTGAGATACAGGCCTAACAAGTCTGTTGGCCCAAGGGGATGGAGTATATGTCTCCTGCTGCCCATCCCACATTTCACAAGGCCTTTTTGTTATTGGGACATTTACTCTCCTCAGACAGGCTATCCAGTGAGATCCCCTTGGTCCCAGGCCCCTCCCTGAAACTGGCAGCTCCTTTCCCAGCAGTGTTGCCTCATCAGAGGAGGCCCAAGGTACGGGTATTCCCGCAGGGCTTCTCCTTTCGGTTACCAGGGGAAGGTGACGGAGTGGGAATTGGGTCTGAAACCTTGTGAGTCCTGTCCTGAACGAGGTTCATGTTTTTAAGCTATCTGCAAGAGGAACCTGGTGGGGTCACAGCTGAACCTGCCTGAGCAGGGCAGGGGCTCTGCTGGTTTGGACTAACTGCAGCCACCTCTGGTTCTTTGGCAGAAACCTCTGGACCAGCGTGGAGATGATTCTGCAGAGATGGTAACTGTCCTCAGTGTCCTGAGCTGTTATGGAGAGTTTCAGATGCTGAGCCAGGACTGAAGCCTCTCCTACATGGCTTTCTCCCTCTTAGATTTCACCTTTCAACACACAGGCACCTTCTGCCAAGCACCTCCAGCTAGCCTTGTGACTCATAACTCTTCCCTTCTCCTTCAGCAGAGACTTTCCTGGCCACTTAAGAGAGAGCAAACATCCCCCTTAACTTGGCCAAACCAAAAGCAAACACCCAGACAATGCATTTTTGCTGATTCTACATAAACTACCCAAGTTTCTGCTTCTTCCTTCTCAAACGTGGCTGAATAATTTAGCCAGATCTTTTCTATTTAGCCCAGCTGTGTGGGTGCAGTGGTGGTGGTGAGGCCGCACCTGTGCTAGTCCCCTGTTGGGATTTTCTGTTCTTAGCCAAGCGCATATGGTTCTTGTATTCAGCAACACTCTGCACCCCTAGTCCTGCTTCTTTTTTTCTCTGCATTTTTTTTCTTTTTTTCCCCCTTTTCCCCCCCTTTCCCCCCTTTCTCCCTCCATTTCCCCTTCCCCCTTTTCCCCCTTTCACTCCCCTT